GCTCTGGTTCTCATGGGAAACTTCAGTCACCCTGATACCTGCTGGAAAAGCAACATTGCCAGGGATGCATAGTACAGGAGGTTCCAGTAGTATGTGGAAAATAGCTTCATAATAAAAGTAGTGGAAGAGCCAGCGAGGAGAGGTGTGCTACTGGAACTTGTTCTTACAAACAAGGAAAGATTGGTTGGGAACATGAAGGCTGTGGGGAACCTCGCATTTAGCGACCATGAGATAGTTGAGTTCAGGATCTTAAGTGGAAGAAAGAAGGCAGTTAAGTGGGATTGCAGCCCTGGACGTCGGGAGTGCCATCTCTGACCACTTCAGTGGCCTACTTGGAGGTATCCCATGGGCTAGAGCACTGGAAGGTAAAGGGACCTAGGAGAATTGGTTGACATTCAAGCAGCACTTCTTCCACCCTCAAGATCGGCGCATCCCTAAGAGTAAGAAATCCTACAAAAGTTGCGGGAGAGCTCTGTGGATGAGCAATGAACTCATGGAAAAACTCAAATGGAAGAAGAAAGTCTATGGAATGAAGAAAAGGGGTCTGGCCACTTGGAATGTAGGAATATTGCCAGGGCTTGCAGGGATGCCACAAGGAGGGCTATGGCCCACTTGGAATTATATCTAATGAGCAAAACCAAGGACAAGAGAGCCTTTTTTATGTCAGTAGCAAAAGGAAGACTAGGAAAAATGTGGGCCGACTGCTTATTGAGGTGGGTACACTGAGAATGGAGAAGGCAGAGCTACTCAATGCTTTCTTTGCTTTACTGCTAAGACTGCTTCTTGAGAATTCCAGACCCTTGTCACCATAAAAGAGTCTGGAGAAAGGAAGTCTTTACCTTGGTTAAGGAGTATCTGATCAGAGATGATCCAAGCAAACTTGAAACACAGTTCAGTCGACCCTAATGGGATGCAGTCATTAGTGCTGAGTGTGCTGAGCCATTACACATACTCTGTGAAAAGTCATAAAGAATGGGAGAGGTGCCTCAGAAGTGGAGGACAGCTAGTGTCACTCCAGTTTTCCAAAAGGACAAGAAAGAGAACCTGGGAAACTACAGGCTAATCATCCTGATTTCTTCACAGCATATTGGTAATGATACAGCTTATTCTGGATGTCATCTCCAAGCAAGTGGGAGAAGATGATCAGGAGTAGTTAACATTCACCAAGCAGAAATCATGCTTGACCAACCTGGTAACTTTCTACAACGTCATCACCAGATCACCAGGTTAGGTGAGGGTAGAGCAGTGGATGTTATGTACCTCAATTTCAGCAAGATTTTTGACGCTGTCTCTCACAACATCCTTGTAGATAAGTTTAGGAAGTGTGGTATAGATGAGTGGTCAGTGAGGTGGATTGAAAACTATCTGCCTGGCAGAGCTCAAAGGGTTGTGATCAGTGGTATAGGGTCTAGTTGGAAGCCTGTAGCTAGCATGTTCCTCAGGGATTGGTACTGAATCTGTTCTTGTTCAACATTTTCATTAGTGGCTGGGGCAAAGAGATAGAGTCTGCTCTCAGTAACTTTGTTGATGATACAAATCAGGGATCTGTCAGGGAGCTGACAGATCAGAAGGCTGTGCTACCATCCTGTAAGACTGAGCAGACTAGTGAGTTGAGTGGGGAGGAGCCTGATGAGGTTCAACAAGAGCAAGTGTAGAGTTTTGCACCTGTGGAGGAATAACTGCACCAGTACAGGCTAGGGACTGACCTGCTGGAATAAAGCAGAGAAGGACTTGAGTGTCCTGGTGAACAACAGTTTGGCCATGAGCCAGCAGTATGCCCTTGTGGCCAAGAAAGACTATGGTATTATTAAAAAGCGTGCAGTTGTCAGGTTGAGAAAGGTGACACTCCACATCGGCTTTGCCCTGGGGAGGCCACATGTGGAGTACTGTATCCATTTCTGGGCACTCCCCAGAACAAGAAAGAAGGGGAGCTACTGGAGAGAGTTCAGCAGAGGGTTACAAAGATGATTAAGGGCCTGGAGCATCCCCTGTATGAGAAAAGGCTGAGAAACCTGGGACTCTTTAGTCTGGAGAAGGCTGAGAAAGGGATCTTATCAGCACTTAAAATATCTGAAGGGCAGGAGTCAGAATATGGGGACTATCTCTCTTCGGTGATGCCCAGCAGTAGGACAAGGTACAACAGGCACAGACTAGAATACAAGAAGTTCCATATGAATATGAAAAGACTTACTTACTGTGGGGATGACAGAACATGTAACAGACTGTCCATAGAGGTTGTGGAGTCTCTGTCTCTGGAGGTATTCAAAACTTACATGGGTGATTTCCTGAGTAACCTACTTTGGAGAACCTGCTTGCGGGGTCTGTGATCTTCAGAGGTCCTTTCCAACCCCTACCAGTCTGTGATTTTTACAGCTGTTTATCACCTTTTTTGCTGACTAGTTTATGTAGGGGTACATGCTTGTATCAGTCCCCAGTTGACTCCATTCCTGACCAGTCCTATTCTAATTTTTGAGGGTGTGTGACCGAATACATTACCTGAACAGTTCTACTGCTTTGAAACTGCTCCCAGTCCTGCTTTCTTCTTATGCTTAACCACTGAAGTAACATGAAACATTTGAAGAAATGAGTCCCGGAGCCCATGGAGAGGCTAATCAGCTGTTCTTCCATTCTTTCATGTCCTCTGTAATGAGTCCCTCTACCTCTGTTGTTCCCTTCGCTGCACCTGATGGACTTGCTTATATGTCTTGACCTCCAAACAATCAGAACATTTAGCTCTCGGGTGTGTGATAGGCTTCTGAGTCTCAAAGATGTCCCATTTTTAGTGACAGCTTGAAGGACCATTTTAAGGCCTGTTCCCTGTCCAGTAGGCAGGACAGCAGATAGTATTTTATCCTTGTCTGTTCCATCTTCAGTTGTCTTATAAAGAATTCCTGCTTATTAGCATCCCTAGAGGTGCTGACTTTGAGAGCACTCCCAGCAATAGCGCTGGCTAGGATCCCTACTGGTCACAACTCCTGTAGTTGCTTGCATAAGGGTGCAAGTACATTCCCACAGGACAGGATCTGTATAGGACAATGTGCTCCCATGGACCGAAAGAAGATAGTGCATTCCAAAAAATTGTAAGCTGACAAGGAGAAATCCACTTTATCCTTGTCTGAGATCCCAGAATTCACAAGCCTGAGTGCTAGTGCCCTACAGAAGATTTTAGTCTAGGCACTGTGAAGTACACAGAGACTTGTATTGAGAGAATGTACTCCTGAAATGGCCAGATATAAGAAGTATTTGTCACAGTGGTCTGGCCTTGCCGCCAGCTAGTCAAAACAGGAGAGGAAAGATGGGGACAGTCAAAATTATCAGGAATTCCTATATTTTTTTAACTTGGGACAGGGCTTCAGCAGAACTCTGCACAAAGTTCTATTGCTTTGACCAACAGGTTTATTGCATCTCTCTTTGTTCTGGAGTAGGAACACATGTATTGATAGGCTAGAAGATGGAAGAACTGGTGTTCTCTTTCAGGAATCTGGTTTTCCAATAGAAGTTTTATTCCCCTTACTAATCAGAAGATTTTGCCAGCCAACATCATGATTACATATAGTGCACCACTACCTACATCTCTACAACTGAATCAAATACTTAGGACCTTTCTGTTGCTCTCTGGCTGAATGTGTAGCACTCATATCCATACTGCTGATAGATTTCACCTGTGCCTCTGGATTTGTTTTCCTTGTTATTATAACAGTCCATTGCCTAGGTATTGCTTCAGACTAAATTCCGTAGGAAACCATTTCAGCAAGGGTTGGGATGTCACAGATGATCGCTGTACCTGCAGTGTCTTGGAGGATGTTTCTTTGGATGGTCATTTGCAGACCATGATTGCAGCATGTCCCAGAAGGAGACTGATACATGCCTTGATACCCCCTGTCTGATGCACGACTGTGTACATATGCACATTTGAAGTTCTGCTTTGGGTTACGTAGTTTGCCATCTGTGCAGATCATTTGGGTCCAGTGAAATGCTGCAGATTTTCACTTTCCGTCTCAAGTAGCTATCATTGCACTCAAGCATTAATGACCTTTTTTTGTCAGATGCTGGATTTAGGAGAAACACTGCTACCATATCCTTCAGTTACCAACTTTTCAGCCTACTTGGTGCACCTTTGTCAGTCAACTGGAAAGAAACGTGCAGGGACTTCAAAAGAGACTGGGCTGTACTGTAATCTGACACTAGCCATGATTCCTCCAGATGCACTATCCACCTAGATCCAGTGACCGATTGTTCTCTGAAAACAACATGGACATCCTTTGTTTTTTATGTTAACTTATCCTTTTTGCTCTTGGCTGACAAGCAAGAAGGCGTTCATTATCTGGGCAGTGCTTGTGACTTGCTGAAATAGATCGCCTTGTTATTCCCAAGGGCTGTGTTGAGTACACTGTACTAATAAGTAACGTTTTGAGCAGCATTCTGTTTCTAAGATACAGATAAGACAATTCACCAGCTGTAGTTTTTATTTTTAATTTAATGCTTTTATGCTAGTCTATGGAGGAAATTGAAGAAAAGAGAGTAGAGCCTGTGTATCATGTGTGAAGTTAAGGAATAAGTCCTGGTATCTCTAGTAATCTAATGTTTCTCATCTACATGTGAATACTTGAAGAAATCAAAGGTTTTTCAGGAGAACGTTGCAGGCAACTGTTTTCTATTATAGCACTCAGATAAGTGGAAATAAAAATAAGTGAAGCTGTAGGACATAGAGCACTTTAGAAAGCCTGTCTTTTAGAAATATAAAAGGCAATCTTGGCCATTCTTTAAAATTCAGCTCCTACAGCTGTAGGCTGTTCTGGTGAAGTCGATTAACTTTGCTTGTAATGATGTTGATGCTTTGCTTACAATTTGTCTATGTTATAGTGTACATCTGGGTTTCTCTTACATAAGGTTCCCTATGAAGAGAGGGGTAAGTTTTGGCAAGGAGCATGCAAGATTTACTAAAATGAAACCTTGCTGGTCAGTTGCTCATTCATTCTCATATTTCATTACTCATTAAGGGATGAAGAAGAGAAAAAAAAACCTCATTCAGATGGTACAGATGAAAAAGATAATGGGAACCAGACGAAGGCTGTAAGTCGGATTGGAAACTCTAATAACCCATTCCTGGACATCCCTCATGACCCCAATGCTGCTGTGTATAAAACTGGATTTCTGGCTCGGAAAATCCATGCAGATATGGATGGAAAGAAAAGTAAGTATCCTTCACATGTAACATTATAACTCTCTTCCCTGTGTAACATCGTATCTCTCTTCCTTGTAATCTCTCCGCTGTACCACTTAGGATGAGACTGTTTGCTTTTCAAGGTGAATAGTGCTGCTTCATTAAGGAAAATTGCAGCAATAACAAACAACCCAGCAATTGGATTATCACACTCTCACTATCAGGCCAGGATTTATAATGTTCAGTTCCATTTGCATCAGATCTAATGCATGTGCCTATTGAGTAATGTGGTACAGCAAAGCAGCATGAATCTTTTGTGCTCAACGAAAATGGATCTCATGGTTTATAGAAGAGAAAACAATTTCAAGTGAATTACATCTATTCAATAGTGTTTTGATAATTCTCCTTTTCCTCGTGTGGTACCAGGCTGTTTCAAATCTCCCCTCTCCTCTACTTCTGTCTTTAAAAAAATGTTGTTCATCTCTGCTTGGAAGATCCTCTAAGTGTTCCCTCCTTTCCTGCTCTTGGGTCACAATTCTGTCAAGTCTAGCAGTGTTTGGTAACATCAAGAATTATGCCATGCAGTTTCATAAATAGTCTTTGTAAATATTCTTTGTAATAAGCCTGCTGTGTTTCTTATTTACTTTTAATTAACCTTTGTCTTTCTTGTCCTACTTCCATTCTTGGAGCAGTAATTATCACAGGTGTTTGATTTGCCTGCATGCATTTTGTTGTTTGGTTATCTTCAGTTGCTTGTTTTCTAGTAAGAGTCTTAGAAACAGCAGAGGCTACTCAGGACACCTGTATTTTTCCCATTTATTGTTGAAGATCAGTACTAATGGTTCATACTTCTGGGGTGAATCGTGAAGAGAAAAGAGAATCCTGACTTTGTGATTAGTTTTCAGTAACTGCAACTCTATCTAGTTAAGCTAAATGGTTTTGCACTTGCATGTTGTGCTAGTGTATTTTAGAAGGTACGTTTGAAGGACTGTGTTTTCAACGTGGAGGCTAGTACAGCTAGTACAGCTGAATTCAAGTGGTGGTGATGTGATCAAACTGACCTCATTCTTTGTGATGAGTGGATGTTGTGAGTAGGTTCTTCTTTATTAAATTTGTTTATTTAACCTTAATAAATAATTATGTATGGTTGCCATGATTAATTTGTTTAATTACAAATATTCAGAATCACTCATTATTCAGCTCATTGAATGTTGGCATTTTTGAGATAATCCTTTAATGAATAAAAGCCAGTTGTAGAGAGGAAGTCCTGGGAAATTACAGACCTGTAAGCCATACCCTTGGGCCTGAGAAGATCACAGAACAGATCTAGAAGCTGTGTTAAGGCACATGCAAGATGAACAGGTGATCTTTGACAGCCAGCACAGCTTCACCAGTAGCAGATTATATCTGACCAATCTGGTATCCTTCTGTGATAGAAAAATAGCATCAGTGAACTAAGAAAGGGCAACGGATATTATCTACCTGGACTTCTACAAAGCCTTTGACATGATCCCACATCACATCTTTATCTCTAAATTGGAGAGAGAAGGATTTGAAGAGTGGGTAGAGAATTGGTTGGATGTTTGCAGCCAGAGGGTTGTGGTTAACAGATTTCCATGTGAAGGCCAGTCATGAGTGATGTCCCTCAAGGGTCAGTCTTGGAACTGGTGCTCTTCGACATCTTTATCAATGATGCGGCCAGTGGGATCAAGTGCACCCTCAGCATATTTGCAGACAACGCTAATCTGAGTGGTGCTGTTGGTAATACACTGGGAAGGAGTGCCATCCACAGAGACCTCTGCAGGCTTGAAAAGTAGGCCCATGTGAAACAAATGATGTTCAACAAGGCCAGGTGCAAGGTGCTGCCCTTGGGTTGGGGCAGTCCCAGATCTGTGTACAGACTGGAAGAAGAATTCGCAATGAAGAGCCCTGCGGAGAAAGACTTGAGAGTTTTGGTAAATGGAGAAACTGTACATGAGTCAGCAGTGTGCACTACTTGCAGCCTGGAAGGCTGAAAGTTTCCTGGGCTGCATCAGCAGAGGGGTAGAAGCAGAGAGGGGGAGGGAGTTGTCCCTCTCTGTTCTGCCCTCGTGAGGCCCCGTCTGCAGTACAGTGTCCAGGCCTGGGGTTCCCAGCACAAGAAGGGTGGGGATGTGTTGTAGCAGGTCCAGAAGAGGGCTGCAAAGATGATCAGAGGGCTGGAGCACCTCTCCTGTGAAGGAAGGCGGAGGGAACTGGGCTTTTTCAGACTGCAGAAGAGAAGGTTCCACAGTGCTCTTCCACAATGCTCTTACTCATCCACAATGTTCTTGTGGCATTCAAGTACCTAAAGGGAGCTTATAAGCAGGAGTGGGAGTGACTTTTTACATGGCCTAATAGTGATAGGATGAGAATGGCTTTAAATTAAAAGGGGAGATTTAGGTTGGATGTTAGGAAAAAACTCATTACTCGGGGTGGTGAGGCCCTGGCACAGCTGCCCAGAGAAGCTGTGGTGCCCCATCCCTGAAGGTGTTCAAGGCCAGGTTGGATGGGGCCCTGGGCAGCTGAGCTGGTGTGGGCAGCCCTGCCCACAGCATGGGGTTGGGGCTTGGTGGGCTTTAAGGTCCCTTCCAAACCAACATATTCTGTGATATAGCTTTATGAAAACGTGAGGAATCTGCCCAACCAGGATGCCTGCAACAGCAGCTTTTGTCTTTATAAGTATCCTAACACACTGTTGTAATTCAGGACAGCTTAATTTATGTAAAGATTTCTAAAGTGAAATTCTATTTGTTGCATAATACAAGTAGGAATAATGTCCACTGTGTGAGATGCGAGTGATTAACTTCTGGAGCAAATGAGTAACAACTTTTTCACTGCCACTTGGTCAGATCAGAATGGGATTCCTTTTTCAGGGTGATGCTTTAGTCATGTACAAGCTATTAATTGCAGTATTTAATATATATACAAATGGATGTTGGTCACTGGTGTGTACTTGGTGGAGAGTGAACTTCAATGCATGCTTCTGGTCTCTGTCTCTGTGACTGTACAGCACATGCCTTCTTTCCCTGTACCACAGCTGAATTTCAGACTGGAGCTTTCATACTTTTTCTCCCTACAACTCTCTTTTTTTTTTTTTTTTTTCCTCTTTTTCTTGTCTCTATGAATTTATAGGTTGGATGTGTTGCTTTTGTGATGCTCTTCAGTGTTACTTCAGGTTTCTTGAGAGGTGATTTTTGATTTGGCTCCTTTCTGCTTCCCCTTTGGCTTTCCCAACAACTGTGGAAAAAAGGGATAGAATGAAGCAGGCATCTGACCACTCAGTGCCCACTTGGGTGAACAGCAGTTGCAAGAAGAAAGGATGCTCTTGGGAAGCATTGCTTTTTGGGCAATGTCGCACTGATTCTGAGCAGTGGCTGCGACCTGCTTTGACGTGGAGAAAGGGTGTTTCCTACTAAAAACATCACCACTGTACAAACCTCAGACCTAACAGTATAGGAGCAGTGTCAGTGCCAGAGCAGAAAGACCAGATCTCTCAGGCCTGCTTTCTGCATTGCTCCTGTTCCCTTCTGATCCAGTCTAGTGCTGTCTTCAGGGTTGTTTTACTCTACCTTACAGCAGGTATTTTCAGGCACTGTGCAGGCTGAGTTGCATTGTCCTTTGAAAACGAGAGTACAAAGGAGGTTTTACACAGGACTAATGTAACTCTCCTGTTGCCTAGACAAAGTGTAAAAATGGATCTGAGTTAAATGGGTTTTCATTTGTTTTCTTTGCAGCTCCCTGGGGAAAGCGAGGCTGGAAAACCTTTTATGCTGTGCTGAAGGGAACAGTCTTGTACTTGCAAAAGGTAGGAGAAATCACTATCTTTTGGAAACTTATTGAAGGGGGATAAAGCAGCAGGCATCCTCTCCACTCTCACAGCCCATCTCCAGGTTCCTTTCCCTCTGACCAGCAGTGTATCTGCTCTCTTTGTGCCCCATCCTGTTTACACGCACACTGAGATGTGAATTCTTTTATTACCGTGGTCCTCCATTTTTCAGTTTCAAATTCAGTCTCACTGTCACTATCCAGATGTGCACCTTGTCAATTCCAGTTTATGCCATCACTGTCACTCATGACTGACAAAATAGCTAGCTTCACAAGCTAAGACAGCATCATCTCTCTGTGTCTTGCACAGATTCCTCTGGGCTGCTTTTAACACTGCAGTTTATCTGTATGACTTCACCTCCTATGAGGCTGTCCTCCTTTCCAGTCTTTTCACAGTACACTTTTCTGCAGTGACTGCAAGAGCAGCTGCAAAACAGTTTAACAGCAGCTTGATCTTGGTAGGAATCTGCAGCTTATGCTCCATAGCAGAATTGGAGGATACCATTTTTTTTCCAAAGCAGGATAAAACACTTATTTCTAAAAAAATTTTACTCTCTGCCAGCAAGAAGTCTAAAAAAAACGTCAGCTTCAAACCCTTCAAGTCTTTTGGCGCAAGCTTGATTGTAATACAGCTTTAACTATAAGCTTTTTTAAACTGAAACTTCTCTTGGAAAGTGAGATGGAATATATGAGCAAGAACTGAGAGAATCAAATTTTGTCAGTTTGTAGATTTTGAAGCCTTTGTGTCTCCTGCCGTAAGTGTAATGTTCTTGATATAGGTGAGTTCTGTCCAGGTTGCTCTGCGTTGTAGAAATATGCTCTGCTGAAAGTGTTTCTGCATTTCCACTGTGTTTTGCAACTGTAAAGAGTGCAAGTGCATACTGTTATTTCCTCCTTCTTTGTTCTGGGTTTCTGATGTTATTGTTTTCTTCAGAAGCAGCATGGTGTATTGGATCCATGATAAATTGGATCCATTTCTTACAGCACAGGGTTGATGAGGTGGCTGGTCTGTGCTCAATGCCTGTTTGACAGGGCTGAAGTGCCGAAGCAGACCGAAAATCTGGAGGCAGGAGGAAAGGTTTGGGCTGACAGTTGTGTGTTACATGCTCCAAAGCCAGTGTGAGAGACTAGAACCAAATGTCTTGAACTGCAGCTAAGCCTTCCCTCTGGTTCTTTTCCTGGCAGCAGCTTCAGATTTTATTAAAATGGTCTATATGGCAGGCTTGCATTTTCACTTTCTTGAGTGAATTGCAGTCAGCTGCTTTGATTTCTGAAATGAGTCATGTTTAGCATTTATCTGAAAAGACTGGATGGTTCCCTAAGAAGTGAGAAGGTTCCTGTCCATAGCATATGAATTAATTTTTTATTTGATCCTTGAGGGGGATTAAATAAGCTTTCAAGGGGAAGAAGTGGAGGTGCTGTCCATTTTAGAGTCTTAATTAAAAACTTCTGTAAGTGTCACTGTAATATTAGTTAGAAACACTTAGACAAAATTTACAGATGTTGATGTATCATGCAGATTTTCTGCAGAAGGTTGCTCTCCCCACTGTCACCTTCCATCTCTTGGTAAGCATGAGAGTGATTTCACATCTGGCTACACTTTTGCAGAACAAATACATTGGTGGCGTTCTTGCTCTCATTTGTTTTTCAGTTGTGCATCTTGCATTTGTCATGGCACTTGAGTTCAGTGATTACAAGATGGTTACTCTGCAAAGTAGTGCTCTCCCACATAGCCCTGAATCCACTTTCACTGAAGCTGTAGCAAGGGACAAGCTAGACTTTTAATTCAGCGCTAGAAAGGTTGACAGAGAGGTCTGATGGGAAGTGACTCATTCCCTGAGTGATGGGGCAGCTGTGAGCCTCCCGAGGGTGCCTGTGACCCCTGCTCAGCAGCAGTGCCTCATGCAGCATCAGTGAAACATCCTCTGATTTCTCTTCAGCTCCAGAAGGTCCAGCAGGGCTTTGGTCCAGCCCTGAAATAAATCTTGCATTGTTGGGAATATGCTATTGTGGAAGTTGGCAATGGTAGGGTTTTAAAATATATGGCTAGACCAAGTTTAGAGATAGTAAGTGCTGATGAATTATTGTTTCCTTCTGCAATATACTGGGAGACAGAAATTATCCCAATTTCATGAAGTTGAGGAGGATTTTAGAGCAGCTTGATTTCTGTGTAGAAATGAAGAACTATGGTGGTAGTTACGAGCAAGGGATTTCCTTCTCTCTGTTTCCCTTCTCTCCTAATTATGCAGTGCTGCAGGGCAGGATGCATACCCATATGCATTTACAAGATTTCCCTCTGTCTCTCAAAGCTGTGATGATAGTTTCATTGCACTGAGTACTATTCAAGCAGAGAGAGAGAAATCTCACTTGTGTATGCCCACAAATAAATGTATAGGCCTATGCACTGTTACTTTCTGTGCTCATCTGTAACTCAGCTGTTCCTTCAAGACATTACTCTAATATAAATATTAATAGTTTGTAACAGCTGTGATTCTCCCAGTGGGTAGCGTGATCCCAATTCTCTTCCCATTCTCTTTGCATAGCAGACTAATTCTTCTTATTTTGCTGTGAAGTCTATAGATGAGAGTGGTTCCTAAACGGCGGTCATTTGAGATTTACAGGGAGGTTTATCTGGGCAATCTTGTCTCTGTGCCCTTTTTTTTTGTTTGTTTGTTTCATTGGAACAGCTCCAGTGCTAATTACTGTGCTGCATATTGTTTTATTTTTAATGAGTAATTTGTGAGAGAGAGAGTTTCTGAATTAGCGAGCACAGAGGCCACTGGAGGGGCTCAGTGGAAGCATTCACAATTAGCCAACTAAACATGTCTGCACAATATTATATAAAATTAGAGGTTTGACATGTTTGGGCTGTTGGCCCTGACTCTGGACATCCTCAGGCCAAGGCTAATTTCCTGCCTTCGGTTTATAGCAAGAGGAAATAGCCAAGTAGGAGCTTGACAGAATGTCTCTTCACTAGACCGACATGGGATGTGATGTGTGTATAGAAAAGGGGCTTATAAGGAGAGGACAGAAGGCTGCCCTCGCTTCCTTGCTAGAAATTGCATATGAGCAGCTGTGCAGGACGTGGGCCTTGTGTTTTGACTCTGCTCTGAGGTTTGCAAAATCTTCACTCTTTGATGTGATACTTTATAATCTTGTGGGATTTCAGGTATTTTTATGTAGTTATTATCAAATATGTTTCCTTTGTCAAAACTTACCAAAAAAAAGGGAAAGGCTATAAAGGGTATAAAGTGATCAGACACAAAACTTTCTGAAAGGATTTTGCATCCATTATGTGAGTTGACCAGAGGTGTCCACTCACGAATACCTTGGCTGATAAAAAGCCGACTGCTGTAGTTGGGTGTGTCAGAAAAGGATGCAGGAATGTGTGTCCATCTAGAAACTGGGTCAGCAGAATGTAGAAAAGTCATTTGTTAGGAGTCTGAGAAAGATGAATTCAGCATGTAATTACATTGTGTGCAACATTCACAGCAGATTTCAGTTGATATTGAGGTCACATTTCCTTTCTGGTTCCTTATGTATTTCTTGCGACTGATTTGGTCTAACTTTAGTGAGCTGCCTTTCATTCCTGCTCCACCTCCACACTGATGCTCGCACATGTGCTGTCCTTGGTGGCATATGAAATATGGATGTTCCTTTGCCCCTAGCATTGCTTGCCAGTTAAGAAGAGTTGAAGGTCTTAAAGGAAGAATTCTGACAGCACATCCACGTCCCTTCAGTTTTCTCTTAGGCTGGCCAACTACTGGTAGACATTTGTGGTATGCTGATGACTGCTTTTGGAGAAGCTGGCAGGGACCCATCTGTCAAGGTAGAGTGCAACCATCTGATCCAGTGGGATTAGCAAGGATCATAATAAAATCTCTCTGTCAGTAAGGAGGGACTCTGAGTCAGTGCCGCTTCTGGGACTACCCAAATGTGGAGTTGTTCTGGAACAGATTTAGACGCCAGTGAGTTGTGGCCATCGGATTCATCTTACAGAAAGCTGAGAGGAACCAAGCATGGTGGTAGCTGGCACTGTCTCAAAGCAGTAATTCGAGGAAAGCCAGAATATCATGCTCTGAGATCTAAGTTCATTTCCTGGCCTTGATTTTTTTTCTCATTCCCTGGATAGTGGAGCCAGTCATTTCCTCCAGAGCAACCACTAAAGAAATCAACTTTTCTACTTTTGAAGGAGGAGGCTTGCTTCCTTCATCATCAAGATAGAGCTGGGCAAGATGTTGGCCAGCCTTCTCTAGTTCTTGCCCTTTAGCTAGACACCTTCACAAATTTGCCTTGAAGAAGGGGTAGAGAGTGTCCTCAATGGGAGTAGGCAGAGTGTCTCATGATAGGAAGGTCCGTCCAGTACTTGCTGGGACTTGGCAGGACCTATAGCCAGGAGGGCAAAGGAGCATTTGCCTTAGCTCTCTGTCAGGCATTGAAAACTCCTTATGTCACAGGTGATTAGCTGAAGACTACCCTTTGGACATAAGCACAACAGTTCTCTGCCTTTCAGCTCTGTGCTCTTGCCGTGATACAGTTGGAGCTGTTGATTGTGATGGTATTGCTGGTTAGCTGCTTCTTCCCTGGCTTACTGCTGAAGTGTCTAACTGGCAGCAGGTTCTAGGCCTAAACTAGCTGGACTAGCCTGGAAACTGGCAGAGTAGTGGGATGTTTTGCCCTCCCTTCTGGGATATGGTGGTCACCACAGGTGGTGACTGTCTTTCCCTGAAACTCATCCTGGGGAGCCCCAGGCAAACCCAGCCTCACTGATGAGAGCACAGATGACCTCAGCAGTTGAAGCTCCTGTCTGTATACCAGCAGATAAACCATGTAAATTAATCCATTAATTCAAAACGTGCATCTTAAGCAGCTTTTCTCCAAGAGAAGTACCTTGCTGAGTGTTTAAGCTAATGCTGTCCCTTCTGTATGATTTGTGTCCTGTACTCTGTTGTCCACTAAACTCCATCTCATAACTCTTGTGTTCAAGTGAAGGGATCAATAGTTATGACACCTGCAGGGAATTACTTTTTTGTTTTGCGGCCATCATACTAGGTCGCTTTAGATGACACTGATTTCTGGTGAAGTCGTAGTCATTTCAAAGGAAAGATGTAGAATCAGTTGCTGGCTACTTTCCTTGAGAAACATTGTACAAGACTGCTCATGATTAACTTTTCCTTCAAAAGCTTCTGGCTTTTCTTATATTCGGGAAGCCATTTGTAGTGGAGTGTGCTTTAAATTGAACTTCTGGCAACGCAATTATTGTGCACTTGCCCAGCTCCTGTTGCTCAGGAGATCAAACACTGCTCCCAGCAGACAACTGCAACACAGAGAAGTTTGACTCACTGTTTTTAATTATTTGCTGGGAGTGGTACCATGTTGCAAACCTGAACAATCCTGTGCTTGCCATTTGCAGATCCTGCTCAGAAAAGGTATTCCCTCCTGTGGGTCATACAGATCTATGCTTCCAAAGGGGTTGTGTAATGTGGTGTAACTAGAACCTGGCCTGTTAACCCCAGGGATTTTTTTTTTTTTTTTTTTTTCCTTTAATAAAGACTAAAGATAGATATGGATTGTAGAAAATGTGCAAAGGAACTGTGTGATGGTGCTGGATCCATAAGGCTGTTAGTGTGTTGGCAGACCAGCCATTTCTAGGTTTTCTCTCTAGCATCATAGCAAAAGAGAAATTTAAAGAATGTTGCTGTATTTGCTTTGTGGAGATTGGTAGGGTGACTTCTACACTGTTAAGGACAAGTAGAGCTGTGGAAATTGAGAACTCCAGCAGGAATAAGCAGTTGAGTAGTGGAGATGGAGAGCTGGCCGTGAAGGATTCCTGAAGTGAGGACAAATAGTCCACTGCTGATTTGGAACTACTTCTCTTCCTTTTGGAGAGACCACGTACTTTAATAATGCTTTTCATCACTATGCAACAAGGTTTTTCTTTAGGTTAAGGGAAAAGGAGTAGCACGTGGAGAAATAAGATGTCATTTTTCCTTGCTAATTTCTGTAGGATGAGTACAAGCCAGAAAAGGCTTTGTCGGAGGAAGATCTGAAGAATGCAGTTAGTGTGCATCATGCACTGGCATCCAAGGCAACAGACTATGAGAAGAAACCCAATGTCCTCAAGCTTAAAACAGCAGATTGGAGTGTCCTGCTTTTTCAAGCCCAGTAAGTGCTCTCTTCTGATTTGTGCCAGTAGTTGAGGGAAGAAGGCATTTCTGAAGGAGGGTTAAATTCATGCTTGGACAGGTTAAAGCAGAGGCTTAAAAGGTTCAATCTGTTTATATGATTAGAAATAAGATTAAGTAGTGATATGATTAGAGTGCACAAGTAGTTCATGAGAAAGAAATATCAGGTTTTAAGAGGCTTTTTAATCTAGCTGAGAAAGGCATAACAAGATGCAGCAGCTGGAAGCTGAAGCTGCAGGAAATTCAATTTGGAAACAAGGCACAAACTTTGAACAGTCAGAGTGATTAATCATTTTAACAGATGACCGAAGGCAGTCTTGGATTCTGTCTCCTGATGTCATCAGGACTTAGCCGGATATCTTTCTAGAAGATACACTTCGGTTAGAAACAAAGTTAGTACTTAATACAAGAATAATTTGATTAAGCTCTTCAGGCTGTGATATGCAGACAGAACAGATGACCTTCTTTTGGTTTCTGGCATTGAAAACTGATGCACAGGTTTTTTTGCATTAGCCCTTATCTACCAAGATCCATATAGAACCTCCTAGAGATCTTAGGAGATCTTATCTGCAGAACAGATGAAACTTAAGACAGATGTCTGAATCAGGGCGTTGACTGCCTCTGTTCCTTGTTGCACTTGGTTTGGAATAGGAAAAGATGCATGCTAGGGTGAGTTATGGACTTACTCATGAGCTAACCTGTGAATGAGGCACCTAAACTAACCGCTCTCAAAAGACAGAAGACTCAGCAGACTCTAAAACCTGTTCAACTCTTCTTACTCTCACTTTGAAAGTGCCAGTGGAAGGGTAGGAAAGAGGGAGAGGAGGCTGAATCAACAAGTGCTTGATATGTGTTTTTTCCTCCAGGAGCCAAGAAGAGATGCAGACCTGGATCAACAAGATTAACTGTGTGGCAGCTGTCTTCTCTGCACCACCATTTCCAGCAGCAATTGGTTCCCAGAAGAAGTTCAGTCGGCCACCCCTGCCAGCCACCACAACAAAGCTATCTCAGGTGAGTTGTTGTCTAGAGGGTTGGTAATGGAGATTGTTCTTGACTGGTGGGAGTCTGGAAAGTGGTCCCTAACTTTGTTTTGCTCCTGTCAACAAAAGTATTTCTAGGAAAAACAGAACATCTGCTAGGAAGGTAGATCTGTTTGTTTCCTGATTCAAGATTCTGAGTAGAGAGAACGAAGAATTAAGTTGGCCCAAAGAGGACACTGAAAAAGCATTTTGCTCCCCAGTCCAAAGGGAAAATCAGAAAACACTACTGAGTGCTGCTCCGTTATTCCCTTTATCTAAGCTTAGAGGGACAGTTTGAGATGTGGTGCTATCTGGAGCCTTTCAGCAAACAGGGAAGTCATGGTTCAAACATGACCTGTGGTTGTTTGAATCCCCATCTCTGGAGACAGTCAAGGTCAGGCAGGACAGGATCTGAGCAACCTGATCTACCTGTCGATATCCTTGGTCTTTGCAGAAGTGTTGGACTAAGTGACCTCTAAAAGTCCTTCACAACTCAAACAATTCTATGATTCTATGAGTGAACATACTTGAATATAATTCCTCTATATTTCTGATGAAAAGAAAGAGTCACTAGTGTAACCAGTACCAGATATGGGATTTTCATCCCATGGATATAGTCCTGCAAAGGACATTTCAAATACCATCAAACTGGTGTTATTTTTATGAGTGTGTTTATTACCACTGATTTCAAAGGAAATAAACATATTTCTGATTATTTGGATTATTGCGATTGTTAAGGGTGAAAGATGATTCATCAGGCAAATATCAATTTTATTTTTCCTCTAATACTTTTCTGGAGGTCCTTATCGGCTGAGGAAGTTCTTTTCATATGTTTGTTAACTGTCACATGAACATCCTTGGTCTTCCCATATGATTGTGTAAGCTTTTACGTTCTGCAACAACCTGTGTCAGGGAGTTTCATAGCTCTGATACTTCTTGCATGAACAAACATCCCCTGCTTCTTTCAACCTGGCTGTGCCTGATGCTTGCACCTGTAGCTCTGTGTACTTTGATGTGGTACATGCCTGCAATTTCTCCTGCATTGGCAGGAACCCACTTCTCATTGCATTGATCAGGTGGCAGAAGGGAGAGATCCCAATCGTTGGTATATAATTTTATGAGTAAGCTGCTATAACTTTTTAAGTCATCTCCTCATGCTGGATTGCTTCTTAAATGCATTTTTGCCATCTTCATAGCCTAGCAACACTCCCTAGAAACCATTATCTCATGATCTGCATTTCTCTAAGGGGGTGTTTTTTATGTCGCCCCTGCTTTTTCCTGCTCTGTGGCAGTAGCCTTTCTTCTTACGATGTGGTGACCGACTTTCCATCTTCTATTCTGGGTTAAAGTTTAAATCATGTCTCATACAGGATAATAATAACTTGTCCTTTTGCTCATGCATACTTTTTTATATATACTATCTGGGGTTTCAATAATTTTCCCCCAGACACACAAAAAAAGCATTTTTACTCATTGTTCTGTGTGATTGTTCCATTTAGCACATTGTTTCCCAGTCTCACTGTTTCTATTTAATCTGGAAAGAGATAAAATAGAACACAGCCCTGTGGTTTGTGTCTTGAAGAAAGGGAGGCACAAAAAGTGGAATAAGATAAGCTGTTTTAGCTAACGGCAGAAGAATGTTAACTGTTCAAAGCAGATAAATTCAAAGACAAGCAGAGGCATGTCTGCTTTTATCTGTCAGTGTGGAAAAGCTGCCAGCGGGCTGCTTCTTATTTGGCAGACAAAAAAATATGAATTGTCAAATGCCTCTGGTTGCTGTTTAGGATTCTGTGGGCTGAATCATGATGCACAGTACTTCTTCAAGGGGCCTCTTCCTGGTCAGGCAGAAGATGCTGTGGAAATGTAACATAGCTGAGGGAGGGAGGATGGATATGACAATTTCCATGCAATCATTGTACCAGCTTTGCTTTTAATGTCTGATCTCAGTTAGCCTGGAGGGATGTGACAAAACTGTGTATAAGGGAATGCCAGTGTAGAAAGGATTTAGTAACTTTGTTTTCCTTTTTTCCTGGGGGTGTGAATATATACACAAATACACCAAAGGGCTGCTGCCCTAGAAATTACAATTGCCAAATTAAGAGCTTCTCAAAGACCTTCTGTCATCAGAGTAGAGAACCCGCCGCAATAGGATGTCCCTGAGACCAGTAATTTAGCACAAAGAGTGGTTAGACACTTAAGGAAAGAACAGTGAGTTCATGATAGTTCCTAATAGCAACAGCAACTTCTGGAAGCCAGTAGGGATCAGTTTGAGCCTACCCATGTATAAACCAAGGCAAATTACCCACTTATTTTCTTCTACAGTCTTCTTGGAAAGTAAAAAAGTGAAACACAAGATTAGCTGGGGCTCAGCTATCATCCTATGTAGAAGTTTTTCCCCTTTCTGCACTTTTCTGCAGCTCAAATTATGTGAGCTGAAAGGCTTAGTCCTTGGTGTTACTCATAGTGTATTGCAGGTATGTCTGAGATAGGCTTGAAGCTGCAAGCTGCACATCCACACCACTAGGACACTACTGGCAGCAGTCCTCTCTTCTGAGGCTGGGTAAGTGTCTAGTAACTGAGCTAGGTGTTACCTGCTGTTATGACTGACTAGATCATTAAGGTCTGCACAGTAGTATCTATATTTTGGATTTACCTAAATCAAACAGAGTTTTAAATCCAAGCATAGAGATGGCCAGAAGGCCATGCAGCAGGAGCTGGAAACCTTCTGAGCTGAGGGAAGGTTAGCTGACAGATGGACTGGAGGAAGTGAGTGGGCCTGGGATTATGATAAAGGAAATTAGAAAGGAGAGAGTAGCAGCTCTTCACTCTTTCCAACTGCACAGTGGGATAAGCACTAGTAAGCAGCTTAGTAAAATGAGATACCTTTTTAGGAGAGAGCAGCCCCTCTTCTTCTGGACACATTGCATTGTTCTGAACAAATTAAAGCCACAGACTGGAGAGCATTTGCTAGTGTAGAAACGTAAGGATGGGCTCTGATGCCATATCCTTTCTGTCCTGGAAAAAAGGCAAGGGTCTTTGCTTTTCTCATTCTGCCCTTGGTCCGACTCCATGTAACAGCCTTAATTAATTTGCCAAAAAATGTATTAGAGCAGAAGTGTCATGTTGTCAGTAACGCTCTGCAGCAAGCTGCTTCCGTTGCTCTCAGCAAGGCAAGGGATGACAAGTTTGCTATCTTTCCCAGTGGCATCTGCTCACTGCTGAGTTTTTCTGCAAAGTTGGCCACTTTACTTGGATGCCTTTGAGAATGCTGCTGGGGACAGAGCTTTGGGAAAACAGGTCTGATCAATCTAATTAAAATTATTTAAGATAAAGCAAAAGTTCTCTTTTTACTTTTCTTTACTGATTGAATGTTTTAGATTCTATAATTTATGTGCCTAATGTGTTTCTGAAGGATGAACAGCTGAAATCCCATGAAGCTAAGCTGAAGCAGATCTCCACTGAACTTGCTGAACATCGCTCCTATCCTCCTGACAAGAAGCTCAAAGGCAAGGAAGTAGATGATTACAAACTGAAGGACCACTATCTGGAATTTGAGGTATGTATGGGAAACTTTATTGCTTTTACTTTTTGTGTATGGATGAGGCTGGTTTCATGCTTCTAATATAATCCTGTAGTTCTTCAATTTTCACCTTATTCCAGTAAGGACGATTTCTTTCTCAACAAAAAAGTCACAGTGGTCCCAGAAGTCTAGATGTGGGTCCTCCTTTTGATAAAGACTTCCTGTGACCTTGGCTGTGGGCTTAGCTCCTTATCTGTAAAATGGAAAACTGTGACCCTCTTTGCCTCTTTTATCTTTTTGAAAACATGACAAGCTTTTTAAGCAGGAGCTGTCCTGTGTTGCAAAGCCATGTGTTGTCCAGAGTGATGGAACTTTACTGTAGCACTGCATTGATGTCATTGCATATGGTGAGTTTGAGATGTTTTGTTCAAGGAGTGTGGCTGGCCAATTTGCTTTTCTACATTCCACATATCTGAAATGATCTGACCAACAGTCAAATGAGGAAGTGGCTGATAAGCAAAGGGTGCACAGTGATGCGAACAAGAGAGACTTCATAATCAATAAAAGAGAACTAAAGCAGAGTCATCTCACATATAGCACATAATTAAAGAAGTGCTCATAGAACAACATTATAAGGAAAGCTTTCATACCCTTCTAGGGCAAGGAGAAGGAATTAGAGGTCTGTGCTGTTGCAGGGCTACAATCTCATTGAGACTGGAGAGATTCAATAGGGTAGTTCAGACAACAGAATGCTGCCATGAATGGATACAGGCTTTTTAGGAAGGACAGGCACAGTGAAAATATCTTTTATGTGATTTTGCTGCTCACTCACATAAAGCTTTGCTGAGAGCTTGTGGATCAGTATTAGCATGTGGAGCGAGACAGGTGGCATTGTATTGTCTGTCTGATAGGGCACTTTCAAAGATCTGCAAGAAGAGTTGTGCTTGCAGGCCCTGGTCCTCCTGCAGAATTTTGACCACCTTATTATCCACTTAAGAGAGCACAGCAGGGCACAAGCAATCCAGTAGGTTTCTGGAGTGCATCAGCAACAACTTCCTAATGCGGTGATCAAGCAGCAGTCAAGGAGAGACACTTCTCTGGACCTTTTGTCTGAACAAAAAAGAACTCAGGCACATGAACTTTGGGGACAACCATGGCAGCAAGTTGCTATGAGATGTGGACTTCATGATCCTGTAAGGAGAAGTTAAAGCAAAGAATAAAATCACAACTGTGAGCTTCAGGTCTGTTCAATGAACTGCTTGAAAGAATCCTATGGGATACAGCCCTCAGGGGAAGAGTGCTCCAGGAGAGCTGGTCAGTTTTTAAGTATCACCGCTTCCAAGCTCAGGAATGTTCTGCACTAACAAGCAAGAAACCAAACAAAGGTAGCAGAGGCCTTTGTGAATGTAGAAGCTGCTCCTGAAAATGAAGTACGTGGAGGTAGAAGCTGTAGAAAGTAACAGTAGGAATTTAGAGATACTGTTCAAATATCAAGTTTGTGTTGCTGGTTTTAAGGAAGCCAAAACCTATGAGGAGTTGAATTTGGCAAAATGTAGTAAGGTCAAGAAGAAAGGTTTCTGTAGGCACCTTAGCAGCAGAACAGCCAGGGAACGTATGGGTCCTAGTTGGAGCCTATAATGGAACAGCAGACGTGGTTGCAGTGGACAGAGAAAGGTCAAAGTAGTCAATATCTTCTTTGTCTAGATCTCTATTGGTAAGACCAACCTTCAGCCATTGCAAGTCCCTGAGCCTAGTGAATAAATCTGGAGCAAGAAGCCCGGTGAGTAAATCTGGAGCAAGGCAGATTTATGTACTTAAGAAATTATATAAATTGGATAGCACACAAGTCTGTGGAATCTGATGAGATTCACCCAGGAGTGGAGTTCTCAGGGAGGTGAATGATGTAAATGGGAGGCCATTCTCAATTACCTTTGAAAAATCATGGTGACTAGGAGAGGTTCCTGAGGACTGGAGGAAAGTTGATGTCATTCCTATTTCAAGAAGAGCAAGGAAGAAGGCCCAAAAGACTACGGGCTGGCCAGATTCTTCTCTATCCAGGAGAGACTGGTAAAGTAAATTCTCCAGGATACCCCTTCCAAAAAGATGGAAGACAAGAAAGTGACTGGGTGTAATCAGTTTTTGTTTATGAGGGAGAAATCACCATCATGTGAAGAGAGAACAGTGGAAATGGTTTATCCTGACTTTAACATAGATGTTGTTGTTACCTTCTTTCATATCCTTAGATAATCTGATAATGAGTATTCTGGGAAAGTGGGCAGTGAGGTGGCTTGGAAGTTGATGGTCAAACGGTTATGATCAGTGTTGAACACATCAGTCAGTTGTGCACAGTCAGGCCACACACTTCTCCTCCATGGGGGTGTTTTGCAACTTTCTTTTTGCAAAAGAAAAGTGAGCTATCTGAACGTGCAGAATGGGAGCTTTCCACCAGTTTTGTAATTTCCTCACCTTCCCTTCAGTACAGAGTGCTGTCAATGTCGTGCAAGGAACTGGTAGCAGACCTTGCTGCATGAGGTCCCTGCAAAAGGTCAAGAGGCAGGTGAGGAGGTATTTTATACTCATCTCTTTCAGGCAGAGCCTGCTGGCTGACTACACCACTCATCTGTGTACAAAGGGCCAGGCTGATACATCCCCAGAGGAATTGCAGAAAGGACCTGTTAGTTCCCAAGGAAGCAACATAGTCCCATTAGGGACGAAGAAGCCAAATTTATTTTCTTCAGATCCTTGTAATTTTTCCTCAACTGCCTCAGTTTCCATCATTCTTATTCCTGATGTGGTTCCTGATATGGGGTTTCCCTGTGAGTTGGTGCGACCAAGGAGTTGACTGTTCTTTGTTCAGGGATGTGCCTTCAAGGATTTCTCCCTACCTGGTGTCTTTGCTTCTTGAAACCAAGCAAAGAGCATTTTCTCTTTTTTTGTTGACTGAAGAAGTACTACTCCAGATTATGATTGTTCAGTATGGCAAATATATGAGCAAGAAATCTTCCGAGTGCTGTTAGGTGAGAGGTGAAACTAGGAGTTTGATGGATGGCTGCCTTATCTCTTCTTTACATGCATTCAGGCTGCAGAGATAACTACTTTTAATTTTTGTGCCGTATTTTCTTGACAGAATTTTCTAGATTTTTTTTTTTTAAAAGGAAATTTCCACCAAATTGAATACTTAGCTTCAAATGTCAGAACATTAATAGAGCAAGTTTGGAGCTGAAGTCTAATGAGAAGCTTCCAGATGCATTGCTTAATTGATATAGAAATGGCAAACACACAGTATCCAGCACAAAATGGCCACTGATGAAAGTGCAAGGCAGAAACTAGTCCTTGTCCCCTAGTGTTGTTTAGTGCACCAACAAAAAGCAGAATTCCATATGGTGGTAATGTCTCCCCCACCCTTGATGAATATTATACTGATACTAGCCTTAGAGCACTTTATTGGCTTCTTTTTTGCACCGATGTCCCATGTATTTCACGATGAATCATCCATCAGCCCAGTGCATTGTCTGAATTCTGCTTGCTGTTTCTACATTTCCTTTTATATTGTATGACACATCTTATCTGCTTAATGTGTTTGTCTTTCGCATTGTGGAGCTGGAGCTCCAAATATGGAATTTATAAGAATGCCTTTTCTTAATTTACTTTTTAGGTATATTCTACCTATTAGGTCTTGTTTATTCAGAGGGCTCTCTGGAAACACTGTCACATTCTCTCATGTTTTGTTCTTTATATTCTGCTCTTCACAGTAGTTATCAAGCTTTTAGTCTTTCTGCCCTCAAATAGGTACTATTACCTGAACTTTCATTATGAATTAGAAGAATTTTCACTAAATGCTTTTTCCTTTGTCAGGAACATAACAGTTTGGCAACTGTTTTCAATGAAAATGCTTACACCCTCCTTCTCTGGCCCACAGCCCACTGAGTTCACCTTGATTACAATGCTTGCTTACAACCTTAGTGGTTTTATCACGGTCAGGCTGTTGAACAAATGCCAAAAAATGGGTTGATCAGTTCTTAGCACCTCCTGCCACAGCTAATGTGTTAGAGGCCTTGCAGTGACCTTTCATTAATCTACCTTCTTTTTGTTGGTTGCCAAGGTGGTCTGTGCAGAAAGATGTTGTCACAAAAGAACAAAAGCTTCACTTCAGATGAGAATCCAGAGCAAGCAGGAATGGTTCGTGTAAAGCGAACCTCTTCCATACAAAAAATGCAAGTGTTTGGTCAGAGAGCAGCTTTTATTGTTCTTGTGAGTTGTCCTGTCTGGGGAATGTGCCCTGCTGCTCTCTCATCTACTCCTTCTTAAAGTGTGACATCTTCTCAAGGGCTCAAAGGTAGCCAAACTGGTAGAGTCTGAGCTTAGATGGGCTTGGCTTTGATTTCTGCCCCTTGGGCTAAAGCCAGAAAAGCAGGACCCACTGATGGGAATGGATGGTTGCAAGGGACAGCTGTAGCCATACAGGTAAGGATTTTTGTTGTCCCTTAGTTCATTTTGCCACACTATATCCATTTATTTCAAGCTTACGATCCATTACAAGTGGTGTCCCCCAAGGGTCGGTACTGGGGCCCATCTTGTTTAATATCTTAATTGATGACCTAGATGAAGGGATTGAGTGCACCCTCAGCAAGTTTGCAGATGGCACCAAGTTGGGAGATAGTGTTGATCTGCCTGAGGGTATGGAGGCCCTTCAGAGGGATCTAGATAAGCTGGATCGCTGGGCTCAGGTGAATGAGATGAGGTTCAAAAAGGCCAAGTGCCCAATCCTGCACTTTGGCCACAACAACCCCATGCAGCATTATAGGCTTGGGGATGAGTGGCTGGATGTGTGTGAAGAGAAAATGGACATGGGGGTGTTGGTTGATGCTCGGCTGAACATGAGCCCACAGTGTGCCCACGTGGCCAAGAGGGCCAACGGCATCCTGGCCTGCATTAGAAATGGTGTGGCCAGCAGGAGCAGGGAGGTGATCATCCCCTGTACTCAGCACTGGTGAGGCCGCACCTCGAGTACTGTGCTCAGTTTTGGGCCCCTCACTGCAAGAAAGATATTGAGGCCCTGGAACGTGTCCAGAGAAGGGCAATGAAACTGGTGAGGGGTCTGGAGCACAAGTCTTATGAGGAGCGGCTGAGGGAGCTGGGAATGTTCAGTCTGGAGAAGAGGAGGCTCAGGGGAGACTTCACTGCACTCTACAACCTCCTGAAGGGAGGCTGTGATGAGGAGGGGTTTGGCCTCTTGTCCCAGGCAACAAACAGGATCCGAGGAAATGGCCACAAGTTGTACCAGAGGAGGTTTAGGTTAGACATAAGGAAGAACTGTTTCTCTCAGAGAGTGGTCAGGCACTGGAATGGCTGCCCAGGGAGGTGGTGGAGTGGCTGTCCCTGGCAGTGTTCAAGAGGCGCCTGGATGAGGAGCTGCGAGATACGGCTTAGTGCTTGTGGTAGCAGTGGTAATGAAAAGATGGTTGGACTTAGGTGATCTTGTAGGTCGTTTCCAACCTTGTGATTCTATGATCCTATGTTTTCTGTGAGCACACAGTGTCTCAATATATATGAGGTGACTCAGTGTGGCTAAGGTCAGAAAGCTCCTTCCTGGTGTTGTTACTCAGAAATAACCACGCATTCTAGCTAGCTGAGAGCCACCATTCAGATTGGAATTTGTATGCTGCAGAACTGAGTGTTTTAAATTGCGCAGCATTTCCTTGAGCACAGCCTGACCGAAATCCTTTTTGCACAGTGCAATTAACATTAGTCACCATTGTTCATATCCATATTAGACTCCTTACTTTCAACATCACTTGAAGCTTGAAGCTATTACGTCATCTAGATAATCTTTCAAATGTTTCTGCAGAATTTGTCGTATACTGATTCAGCCCTTTCTTTTCATTTCCCAGAAAAATCGCTATGAGATTTACATTGGCCTCCTGAAAGAAGGGGTGAAGGAGCTGCTGAGTGGAGGAGAGAACGATGCGTCAGGACTGAAGAAATCCCACTCGAGTACGTCGCTCAATCAGGAGTCTCCAGTTAGTGCCAAGGTGAAACGCAATGTCTCAGAGAGGAAGGACTACAGGCCAGAAACACCCAGCATTAAGCAGAAGGTCACTTAGGGTGGAAATGACAACTAGGGGAACAGCCATGCAGCAAAGTACCGGTGGTCAAATTTTTTCCAGCTCAAAATCTGTCATACATAAAAATAAGTGCATCTGCCTGAATGGGGTGTTAGTGACATTTTCTATTGTATATTTTGCTGTTTCTGTGCAGATTGTGGGAGATGTCTTTGCTCCTGCTTTGCTTTGCTCTGTTATTTTATCATTTAGCAATTGAAGCATTGGGACTTTTTTGTGTTCTGTTACTAAAGGAGCTGGGGGAAGGGTAGAGCGCTGTCACGTATATTCTGTCTCTTCCCCATTTATCTCCTCCCATCGGCATGTGGCTTTCATCTCTCAAGTCACTTGTCACTTTATTTACATGGTGGGTGGGAAAAATAACTGGACAAATGCTGCAGCATTGTGAATATGAGCGGTAGCTGTGAGAAATTTGTACAAACAGGCAGCTGCAGAGGGCTGGATAGAGTCTAGAACAATGGGAACAGTGGTTTCCTGACAATGCAGAGCATGTTGGTACTGGTAATTAGCAATGGGTGCTGTAGTAAATAGCCACTCTTGCTTGTTGCTATTGAATTGACCCTGGACCCACAAACGCAAAGGACTGCAACCTGGAAATCTCTGGCAGTGCTGGGATGACAGCATTGGAATCATTTGTTTGCTTCTTTCCAAGCAAAAAGTCTTCTCCTGAGTTAGCAGGGTGGAACGTGTCCAAACCTGTGCTGTCTCTGTGGTCAGGGAGATGAGGAATTACCAAGTTGGAATGACCCACTGGGTTGCATATGTGTTCTAAAGACAAAGGGCCTCTGTGTAGTTTTTAACTATACACTCTCACTTAGCTGCTATATAGAGCCTTATGATACATTGTCTCCTGATGCTCCACTTTCCAGGAGTTTTCTTGTTGGTATGTGCAGATGCATGCAATTGCTCTGATAGTTACAGAGTACTTTGCTTTTTCTCTTCAGGAAACGATTGTCCCCACCTGTTCATTTTTCTGCTTTAGCTGATATGCAGGTGAAAGAGGCTTGGGCCTACTGGAGAATGGCACTGACCTTTTCTCACTCGGAGCCAGGATTTGATGCAATCCTGGTTACTCTGTGCTGGAGGCTGGCACAAGGCAGCCTGACTGACACATCCTACCCTTCACCTGCCAGTTGCCAGCTCACCTTGCAGTTCCAGCACATCCTGCTTCAGACTTTTGGAAGAAAGTAGAGGGTGGGGAGAGGCTGCCATGGGTAGAGCTTTCCATACTTCCAGACCCTGTTTGCCCCACAGATCCTTGCAGTATTCGGCAGTCTTGAGTGCAGAAATGTTGCACAAATCATTTGTCTGCTTCCCAGTGCCTCTTGCCTTATGGAAGCAAGAGCACTGGCTTGCCTGGTACTGTACACTCTCAGTTTTAATCTCTGATGTGATACTGTCTTGCTGGGTGAGCTCAGACAAGTCTCGCCCTTTTCACCTTACCCTTGCCACATACAGAATAGTATAACCATTCTGGCCCTTTTCACAGAGCATTCTGAGAGGCAAGGTTGAGGCCAGCTGAGAAATGTTGATTGCTAGTATTTTTGTTATACCTGGCACAGGGCAGCTGTCCTGATGGATGTATAATGTATAGAGAAGCGTCAAGATCAATACAAGGACTGTTTAGAAATGTGATGGTATTTAAAGCCCAAATAATGTAGGGTCACACATCAAGAAAAATTACTGTCTGATTGGATGTGCACTCTGCCAGACTTCCCAAAGTGCCCAAGTCAATTAGTCTAGTTTGTTGAACTGCTGGTTCCATGGACAGACAAGGGAGCAATCAAAGATAGAAGGACCTTAACAGGTGCCACTTGACCTGCCTCCCCCACTGAGAACCACCATGCTTTCCCAGTGTGCTCACTGTTGGCTGTAACCAAGATGACACGCTTTCAGATCGTCAGTCCCTGCAGTTGCAGCCTGGCAGCGAAACCAGATGGGACTGATTCCATGTGTGATGTTGCATTTGCATGACACATGTGATGTGCACATTTGGAGTTTGCCACAGAGTGTGGTTGCTTCGTCCAAGGAATCGGCAGGTCAGCTCCTAGCCCTGGCAATGTCTGTAAATACTGCAGTCCTGAATAGAAACTGTCAGCGCTTGTTTAGTGCTATAGCTATAGAAGTTCTGTGTGATTATTGTGGAGCATGTGTTCAGTCCTATTACTCAAGAAAGATGCTTTCTTTCACTGGAGCCAGAGGGACAGAGTGCAGCGTACTGCACTGGGAGACTCACTGTGTGATAGTGCTTATTGGAGGGGATTGTTTGAATTAATCGTATCTGGTAGGTAAGGAACTCCAGGGGGGATGGAAACAAAGCCAGGAGGAGATCCCTGCAGCTGTTCGTCATACTCTGGTGGTTTAAAACAAACAGTGGAGAGGGAGGTTATGCTGAGATGGAAAAAAGATATATGGTTGATGCTGAATGCATATTTGAGAAGAAAACTTGCCCAGCTGTAGATAGTGGCATTTCATAGAAAGTGTGCAACAGAAATAGAAAAAGGACTCAGGTTTGTAAATGGGCCCTGCTTGGCTGTCAGAGCGGAGTTGTCTGTGTGAGCTTTTCAAATGCAGCCTGGAATATGCGCAACAAACCTCTTGTGAATACAGAGTACATAGCCTTAAAAGGTGAAGAGGCAACATTTAAATTTTTTTCTCAGCTTTTAAGATGTTCTGGATGCTGTAGGCTGCAGTTAAATTGCTGAGCTCAAAAAGAAATGATTCCCGTAAAATGCATTTCCCAGCTTAGACAGAGAAACTGCTTAATTCCTTTTCAAAGTCGTTGCAAAGGAGATGATTTGAAGTAATAAGAAAGTCAAAAAGTGAACTGCAAAAATGTGTTTTTTTCAGTTTTTATTATTTATTCTCCATTTCCAGGTACACTTGCAAATGGATTAGGATGTAAGCGTTAAGTCTCATCTGTGCTTAGTAAATGCAGTTTTTCACTATATTTTTTAGTGATTAAAAATCTGTTGAGCTTGGAGCACTCTTGGTGAGATTGTTGAGGCGTGCAGATTAGTTTACTGAGAATTTGTCAGGTTCTGCTTCAGTTTTAATTAATGTCATTTTGCTCCATTGCTTTACAAATTCTAGGCATCCCAGGCAGACAAGTGAAAATGCACATTTCAGAGGCCAAGAGAAAAAGGAGATGCTGTCGTGAAAGCCTCCTGGACTCCCTTAGGAACAGGACCATCTACTAAGCAGTACTGTCAGTTGCTTGCTTTTTTTTTTTTCTCCAATGCTACTGTAAAGGATGGACACATGCTCTCAGGGGGCATCAGTGGTGCATGTTGTTGGGTGGTACCATGGGGAGCCTGACTGGATGGCTTTGCATGGTATCAGTACCGGCCTCTCTTTGTTGAATGTTTGACCTCCGTGACTCAGGAACTCTGTTGTAATGTGCAAGAGTATACTGCTGAGTTCCAACATTCCCCTGCATGCCTGGCTGTCCCCACCTGATCTCAGTATGGATTTCTGGGGATGTTCAGTGTGAGCTGGAGTTAAATGGGGCTTGTTTTGGGCCCTGTTCAGCACAGGTGGAGCTGTGTCTAGATGCTCAGTGTTAAGACATTGCAGCACTGGCTCCTTCAACTGCAACTGACAGACCACCACCAGTGTGTGCAAGTGTACAGCCCCTAAGGCAGCCTTTGCGTTGGTGCCTGCAGGGAGGCATCGTTCTTCTTTGCCATGCTCCCTGCTGCAGCATGCCGCCTGGAAACCGTCGCTCAGGCAAAGCCTCTGCCCACGTCTTGAGAGGGGGATGTGGAGAAGGGAGCAGGATTGGGCCAGCATCCTTCTCTGAAGCACTGCTGGCTGCTCACATATGTGGGTTCCTCTCCTGGCTGACGAAGGAGAGGCAGGAAGGTTTGGACTGTGTCCGGACATGACAGGAGAGAGGGGAGGGAGGGAAGACATTTTTGTGCTTCTCCCTCCTCTCCTGCAACCAAAGGTGAGATACTCCCCCAAAGCCAAAATTGCGCTCTCCTTTGTAAGGCAGCAGGATGCTGAGGTTTTTGTCAGCAGTGATGTGAAAGAAAATCTCTGGGCTGGCTTGTATGCATCTTGCAGATAAATCACACATGGACCAGTGAACATGACTGCAGCTTTTTAATCCAGTATTTATGTTGTGTCTTTAATTGATGTAGAGAGATAAGTCAGCCAGCAGGGTGATTAATGTAGCAGAGCTGTGGGGGAACGCTGTTCAGCTGTGACGCCAACTCAGACACTTTTTCATCTACAGCCAGCCACTTGTAAATGGTTACCAGAAGCTTTCTAAGGGCTGTAACAGCTCATCCCTTAAGTGCTTTCTCCTTGATCCTGCCCACTCCAAGGGTGCTGCCTGTCCAAGTTTACAGCTCTTCTAGAGCTCAGTGTGCAGCAGAGTGCTGCTTTGAGCAGGAATTTGAGCTAGCTGGCCTCCAGAGGCCCCTCATGACCTAGATCATATGGTGCATTCCTGTATTTAGGCTGGTTGTCCATCTGGCTTGAAACAACCAAACTTTTGGCTCACTCCAATGGGACTGGACACCCAGTTGATGAGAGTAGTCACTTTGGTGAGTAGGTGTCTGTGGCAGTGGAGAAAGTCAGTTGCAGCAGGGTTATCATTGCATTTCTGCAGTGTGCTTCTCAAAAGTGGGTAAGGCTTTTTTTTGCAGACAACTTGTAGCTTACAGTGTCTGCATTTTCCATTGCTAAATCAATTTTGGCCTTATCACAGTTAGTCTGACAGCTCCTCCTCCTTTTCTGTCAAGCTGCTTCTGTCTGTCATCTTAGCACCTCAGCTGCTTCTGTGTAACAGGTCTCTTCCCTTCCATGCTTGCAGAAATGTAGAAAATTTGAGTGTCCCATCTTGCCTGGAGAAAACCTGCTCTGAAGCAGTGCTGCATCGAATAGATAACCCTTTGAGCAGCTTTCCCATTCTGCTCATTTGTAGCCTGTATTCCCCAGCTACATTTATAGCTGGAAGGTGCGAGACATGAGTTTCAGACTCCTGTATTCCTCTTGTGTTGTGCTGCATGGATGCAAGGTTCCCCTCCCACACTTAGACCAGACACTTGTGATGTTCCTAGTCACCTCTCTACAGATCTCAGAGGCAGAGGCAGTCTTCTGTGGGGAAACTGACATGCTCTTTTGCAAGGATTTGGGTACTTTCCCAAATTCCAGGTCATAAATTTCAGGGAGCTGTGTGGGGAAAAAAAGAAAGAAAAAAAGGCATCATTTTAAATCCGTGTCCCCAAGCACAGTGAGACGATGTCCAGAAATACCATCTGCTTTTGCAGAGGCAAAGGCAGTATAAACACCTTATCTCCAGCAATCTTCTAGGTGGCTGCCTGTTGGAACTTTACTCAGTGTGGATCTCCTGAAACTCTGGGGTGCCACATTTTCTCTGAAATGGCTGTTCTGAAGTCCACATTTCACCAGTGTTCCTAGAGCGTTACTGAAGCTGCTCAGCATGTGCTTCTGGTGTCAGCCGCCTGGGCTGCCACAAAGGGCAAGCTGAGGAGGTTGTGTCAGAAATGTCCTTGAAAGAAGTGATCTCTGGCTTATGCTTTATACAGAGTATTATTTATAGTGTATATTTGTGCAGTTTGCCTTCACTTCTCCTCTCTGAGCTCTCCCAGCAGCATAGGTATGGCTTATGAACTGCTTCACCTGGGATTTCTGAGCATTTGCTCCAGAAAGAAGAGGCTTGTCGACCTCCAGAGAAACTGTATTTCCCAAGCTATGGACCAGTACATGGGATCATTTCCAATATGGCTGATGTTACTGAAGGCATTCAGAAAGCCAGTGCCACCCTCCATGGCTCTTCACTTCCTGGATCCTGGGGCACACTGTGCTCCAGTATTGCCTTTAGTGCTGGGGAGAGTTAGAGATGCTGGCTTCCTTTTCCACATACACTGCGCTGCTTGGGAAACTGCCCTCAGTTTCTATCACCAGCTGGTTCTCTCCCTTGTGACTGCAGCAACCTGGGGTGTCACGGCTTCATTGGGAAGGGGACTACTTTAAATAAGAGTTAGGAGGAGAGGTTGCCCTGGAGAGATGTGTCTGGAAGCCCTCTGTGAACGTCAGCTCTCTGTTGGCAGTACCCAGCTCAACAGTGAAAGGCCAGCTTGGCCTTGCCTGCAAGTAGGTACCTTCATTCACTTTGTTAGCTGCATTTAAGCTCTATGTGAATTATTAGATCACTTTCCTTAACAAGTCCAAGTTACAGCTTTCCCAGAGGCTGCACTGTTGACCTGACTTTGCTGCTGTGGTCAAAAGGAGCAAATGTAAGCCAGCACAAAGTGTTTGTCATTCCCTTTGAGTAATGAAGTGTTCTGTAAAAGTTATAAATTGTTAAACAATAAGGGACCTACCATGGCATCTGCTGTTAAAGCTGTGCCAGGAATCAGCTGGAGTACGTGCCTAAGGTGTATTTAGCCTGAGGAAAAAGTACAGTACTTGGCAATGCATGGTTTAGAAATGCCACAAATTACAGCCACACAGCTTTTCTCTGACATTATCCTTTGCAACTAGCAGCCACTTTGTAGCAGTGGTCCTGTCTGTAATTCACCTAAACTAGACCAACAGCAAGATGCATTTTGCTCAGGCAGACAAAATTTCAGCTTTGCCTTGGGCAATGTGAATATCCTTGTTTAACCACTTAGCAGCTAGCCACCTGCTATGGAGACATGTTGGACACAAAGTCCTTTGTCTTCCCAGAGCCTCTTGCTGGGAAAAGGGTGATCTGTGGTTCCCAGTCTGTGCTGCTTCACAAGCAAGGCACATGCTATTGACAATAAAAGTCTTAAGTCACTTACACACTTAGGAAAACTTGGTGCTCAGTGCTGTGAAGTTCTGAAAAATTGTGGGATGAGAACGATGTTGGATTTTTTTTTTTATTTTATTTTTTCATGTGTACATATTCGTGACAACTGTCCTCTTACTTCAGGCTAGAAGAACAAAGTTTTTTGGCAGTTTGAAAACTTTAAAATCAATACTTTCTGTGTGAGGTACAATCTGAGGCTTACAGTACTTGGTGAATGTGTTTAAGTGATGCCTATAGATGTGTGTATGTGTTCCATAGGTATAGTATGGCTTCTGTGACTCAACACTCCAGAGCCTGCTGTTGTTTTCTGAGGCTTATTTTGGTCAAAGCACTTAAAAAGCTGCAAACTTTGTTAGGATGCTTGTTCTAATTGTTCTCAAAATAAGTTAGAGTCATCAGAGCTTTTGCAGAGTTAGGCTATCCCTTGAGCTGTGCCTCAGTCTCTGTTGTGTTGCCCACCAGGGGCTGTGTGTAGCTGAAAGCAAAGGCGTATATCTGAGAGTCTAAGCAAGGATCACGGGGTTCTATTTTCTGCTAGCTCAACACTGGGTTATCTCCCCATTTCTGTTAGCAGATGCCTGTACCATGAGCATCAATGCCTACTTCTGAAAATCACACTCTGAAGATCAAATATACAGCTTTACTTATGAAGTTGTTGACCTCTCTCTGTGAAAATTCAACACAAGGGCATCATGTCCAAAACTGTGTCCAAGCAGGACAGGTGCCTGTGATGTCTCCTGCAGACAGAATCACGCAGTAGTAGTGAGGGTTTCTTTCTGCAATTATACAGATTTTAAGAAGAGTGTTTGTTTCATCAGTGGGGAGAAGAAGACCAACAGGAGTGAAATATCACTATAAGGCTTCTTGTTTGACTCCCAAAGGTTTCCCTTGTGAGATCTAAACAAGTTGTTAAGAGGTTGCTGGGCTAAGTAAAGGCATAAGGAAGGATTTTCTAGTGGATTTTCCAATTTGCTCTAGCTGGTGCAATGTTAGGACTATCTGCATTATTCTAGGAAAGAAGGAGCAAAGCCAGAGGGTGGGATTCTTACCTGGAGTCATAAAAATGTTATCAGATGTTATAGTGTTAGCTCGAAGTACTCGAGTACTTGTGAAGTCATGGCTGTATGCTTAACTGGACCATGGCCAGTCTTGCAAGACTAAGATGCAAGTTGACTGCAGCGGAGGGTGAAATTAAGAGGGACATCCTCATCATCTTCCTTTGGATCAGTTGTGATCCTTTTCAGGCAACAAGCTCTCCTTTGGGTTACCTGCCTCCCTTGGTGATGCAGAGAGTAGATGAGTTCAGAGTTGTAGTAGAAATTGGCACTTGTTCTCAGCCTGAGAAGATGCAGTTCAGAAAAAGCATCTAATTAACAGTTTCTATGGTGTAGTACCCCTGTGGGAACAGTAACCCTCAGCAGCAGTAGTGCAAAGACCATCTTGCACATGCATGTGTGCACACTGCCCATCTCCTTTGTGCAGACCTAACTTTACTGGGCCAAACAGCAGTCCTTGCAAGATCTTTCCTCTTGGTGGCCTCCTGTCCCTTTTGCCAAGTGTAGGAGCCTTCTTTCTCACACTGTTCAACTCACTTTACTCTTATCACTGACTCAGTGGAGTTTCTTCATACAACACACTAGAGACGCAGTCCCAGTCTCACTGCTCTGTGGTACTTCTTGGCTCTGCTGTGAGGCGACATTGAGGTAATCACTCTATCTTTTCCAGCAGCGTGAAATTTGCTTCTCTGACTCGTGGTGTGGTCAGGCTTGAGGCTATCTTACCAGGGCACTCCTCCCTGTCCCTGGGTGTGTTCATTGCCAGAAAAGCACATTCTTCCTTGGTGGTCAGAGTCAGACTTCAATCAAATCCTGGTTCATGGGAGACATTTCCACGTGCTGCTGGTGTCCACAAGGACTCAAACATGTGCTTGCTTACACAGAGATGGTTTCCTGAAGCAGAGTTGTCACTCTTTTCTACAGGTACCACAGGATGCCCTCCTTTATTCTGCTTCATGTAACTGGTACTAGAATGATCATTTCCTGATAAATGAAGGCACTTAATCAGTCCTCTTCTCCGCGGAGGAAGGACTTTTGGGGATATTGTTATATCATTTGAAATAATATTTTGGAATTTAAGTTTACATTGCTTTATTTTTCACTTGAGGTGACTGTATATAAATATTTTCCTCTATTTTATCATTGCTGATAAAGTAAGCCTACGGTATACAGACAAATAATTTGCCTTTGATGTATTGAAACTGTGAGATATAAAGTAGAATTCTCTCTTGTGTCCATGTTCCTGACTATTACTCTGTTCCTCAGTGTTTTTATAAGCTGGAATAAGTGTTGCTTACGGGCAACAGAGAGCCTGCAAGCTTCTCAATAATTTTTATGTAATTGAACTCAAGCAACCCTAGTGAAGGATCTCACATATGTATAATGATATATGTATATGTACAAACTTTAGAAAGAAATAAACCAAATGTATTTCATCTTCTGCAATTGAATGGTTTCTTTTGGAGCCCTTACCTTTCCTTCGTATGCATGGGAACATGAAGGTGGTATTGGGGACTCGTAGCAACCCCTAGCTGGGCAGACCTGCTCGGGGAAAATGTGCGTCCACCAGCTTGTACAGCTGTTCCCCAGAGCACCCTGCTCTCCTCTGGCAGTCAGCAGACTCCAAGTTTCCAGAGCTGGAGAGTGTGTGTACTGTGTACCTTACAGAAACACAGTCTGGACCAGCATGCCTTGGCATGGCAGAATGCATTATGGCCCTACAGGATGTACAGCAAACACTGTCTATCACAGGAATCTAGAGGAGACATGTGGTTGGGGCCAGCAGTAGGGCACGTGCACTAGTCCTCAGTGAGGACAGCTGGAGTATCTCTCTTTGTACCTCTGCAACAGGTTGCCTTATGTATGGGCTGTTACAGAATGTATAAGCTATGAAGTTACCTCCACTTAGCTGTGAAAAGACAGGAAGAGAAATAAGTGATTAAAGATGGGTTTGCAAGCAGATGGATTGGTAGAGGGAGGCTGCAGTGATCACCTGTTCAAAAATGACCTCAACCATTTTACAGAACACTTTGCTTGAGATTTGCTTGGGTTGGAAATTGCTGATGGTCTAGTGAATGGAAGGAAACAAGACCCGTGACAGACAGAAAAGCAGGACACTAAAGAAAAAGAGGAAATGCAGAAATATAGGTGAGAGTGGGTTCACCAGAGTGAAGGAGACTGCACAATGCATAGAAAGCAATTTTGTGTTTCCTGTTCTTGCACTGGATGTGGCTCATTGTGGGAGCGGAGGAGACTGATGAACAGGTAACAGGACACCTTCAATAGCAGGTTGGGCACAGAGAACCTTCACAACAGGCCTGTGAGGTTTTGTTTGGAAACGGTGGTAAGGAAGGTATTTTTTCTTACCAAGATCTCTGTAAATGACCATCGTGAGATAAGTTGTTTTTTTTTCCCTCCTAGAAACTTGGCACATTAGATGAATGCAAGACTTTGAGGTAGTTACGCTCTTTTCATATTGTGCTACAGAATATCAGACTTTTTCTTTGCTGTTCCTATATTTCCTATCCTGGTTACTTTGGATACTTCAAAGCTCTGAGAGTTTCTGGTCCTAATACATGTTCATGGGTTACTATGTCTTCTAAGAAAGGGCTATAGAATTGATAGTGGAGTGGGAGTTATACTTAGGAAGATGTATTAAATGCCTCCTCTAATGTCCAAATGAATGTTTGACTGTTTGTTAAAGGTAATGCCAGTGCTAATCACTACATCTTTTTCTATTTTGTCTTCCTAACTGACAAAGTCAACTCTGAGCACATTCTCTTTATTCTTTGTTGTCCATTTTCAGTTTACATTTCCAAGTAAGTAATAAAACTATCAAGTGAACCCAGAAGTTTATATATACAGCTGAAATCTCCACAGTCCACAGAAGCTACAGATGTCTTCAGCTATTTATATATAATCTAGCATGAGAGAGTGACTTCACCCCAAAGTAAAGCACAGATAGGTCTAAAGTTGTCATGGATATCTCTAGGTTTGAAATTGGAAGAGTTCTTAAGATAGCAAAGTACTGATGTGCTGCGGTGGCCTCCTAAATGGCAAGGCAAGGGCAAAAATATCTGGAGGCTTTTAAGAGCCTGGAGCATTATGCGGAGAATGATATGGTGATGACTCAGGTTTTTATCTGTAGTGTCATTGCATTTTCCTGTTCTTTCTATGTTTGCTGCTAAACAGATATTTTTCAGAAGAAATTATACCACCCACCATACTAATCATTTCTCCCTAAAATTGGGCCATGCTAGAAAAAATGGACTACTACACAGCAGATTGCCAGCCGCTCTGAGATTGCTCTAATGATCACATTTGTTACAGGGTATCTCTTCTGGTCACCGTTCCACAGCTAATTTTTGGGTGCGTAGGGTACACAGGTGATGTGGATCTTTCTTTTGTAGATCATCTAAAGCACACCAATTCTTCTTAGAGAAGATCATCAGCGGTACTACATGAAGCTGACATTGCCCCAGGAAGAACTTTGGAAAAAATGTGCGTGTATACAGAGGTAGCAGAACTGGGCCAGCCGTGGGCAAGTAATGCCAGTCTTACAGAGCAGCTGAAGCAGAGAAAGGAAGGTATGAAAGAGGCAAAAAGGTTGCCAGAAATAGAAACAGTGATGAATAAGGTAGAAAATCAGGTGAAGAACAACGGATGGGGGAATATTCTGGGGGGAGGAGTGCCTGTGCCTACAAATGATAGTGCTGTTGACTGACAGACCCAAGCCAGAGGCAGTTCCTGTGCGATGACCCATTGACTTTCCATCTGGACTGTGTCTGAAAAAATTGGTGTGGGGGTGGGGTGCACAGGGATAGATTTGCATCTGGGTTATAGGTCATGTGGAGAGGGACGCGCGGTGGATTTGTAACTGAGTGGTAGCTCTGTGTGACACATAGTATGGAAAAGCTGATTAAACTGATTAAAAGCTCTGTAATTGTATAATAGTGTAGAAAACAGTATAATTGTAGGCAAGTGAGGGTTTTGTGTTTATTGGGTAATCAATATATTCCTTATTTAATAGCTTGACCATTTTCTTAGTAGTGGTTTGAGTTGGTTTCTGAAATAAGTTGAATGGGGAGAATGGCTGCAGGACAGTTCCCTCTTACTGTAAACCACTACAAGTTTAATGACTCAGACAACTAAAAAGATGTTTGTAAGAATATTTGGAAATATTTGAATTATGCAGGAGCTCTGCCAGTGGCCACAAGGTAAAAAGGATGAATACTGAGAATGCAAAAATGACATTAAAAGGACATTTTGAGAAATCAAGGCCTGTGAGTTAAAATCTCAGTGACAGACTTCTGTAGTGCAGAAGCATTGTGTTTTCTCTAAGAACAAACATTACTTGTCTGCACATGTGAAGGCACTGGGGGATCTTTATCCATGCAGTCTTGAAATGTAGGTGAAATGTACAGATGGCTAGAAAACTGCAGAAGACTGCAGAATATAGCATCAGGGATGGGAAGCTCTGCGGAAAAAAAAATGGCAGGGAGGGTTTGCAGTAGGGGAGAGGGAATGGTTTGAAAGCTGAAAGCAAGGAGAAAACTGAACAAGAGTGTAAAGAAATAGCATGGGAGGCAAGTGAACTGCATACAGATCCATCTATCATTTGAAAAAGCAACCCATTAATAAGAAAGAAGCAGCCACCTATGAAGGTTGCCTAGCACCTTCCTTTGTCTTTTGGCAAAAGGTTCATGTTCCCCCACTGTTTGCAGAGGAGATCTGAACACTGTCAGGGCTGCCATGAGGTCAGGAGAGGGTGCTGTGTGCTGGCCTTCAGAGAAGACTGCTCAGAGGCAGCCAAGATAAATACTCCTTTCTGTGCTTTGTAGCTTGGAAGACAGCAGCATCCCTGGGTCTGTGCACTGTCTGCTGGATGTGGAATGTCTTTGTTGGGAGAAGCAGGGAAACAAACACTCACAGAAAGCAAACTTCCCCCTGAATCGCTGTGCAGAGATTGTTCAAAAAAAAAAAAAAAAAAAAAAAAAGTGGAATTTGTGTTTGTGTGTTTTTCTTCCCTGAAGGAACAGTCTTTGTCAGACATAAATCATCCTTCTGTCCATTCCCTCACCCTTTGACTCTGAGCTCAGAAGTGCTCAGTAGAGACATTCCATCACCTCTGAGAAGGTGAATATTTTTAATTGGTTTGAGCAAGCTTCACCCTTCTGCCCACATGTCCAGTGTTAAAGAAGAGCACTTTGTCTTTTCAGGTGAATTCCAGCCACGGCCTGCTAACAAGGATGTGTGTCTCTAGAAATTTGTGGTGGATGCAACCTGCAGAACAGGTGTGTGCCCTGTCAGTTGGGAAGTAGATTGGATAAGGTGACAACTGGGGCACTGCTGCAATGTCAGGTGTGGAAAGCATTTCTGATGAGATAAAAGCACATGTTATACCCACACTTCTCAGTGCATGTTGCTCTCCATCCCGTCCAGAGCTGTACTGTGCGGGAACATGAAGTACTGAGACCAGGGTGGATGGAGCCAGAATAATTTCTGGAGTAATGCCGACACCAATTATTACACCCCTGTCTTCTCCCAGAGTGATGCTTGCTATGGTAGGCTGTTGAAGTGGGCTGTGCCTGGGGTGGCAGTACTCTCTCTGTCTGGGCTGAAACATCCTGCTGGGATGGTTTTGTGGGGGCCTCACAGCTAGCCAATGATAGCAACTATGGTGTAAAACCTGAATCTGCTACCGCTGCCGTACCCACGCTGCGTTTCTCAGGCAACTGAGGTGTGGGTGGCAGTTAGAGGTTGTAATTGTTTCTGGAAAAAAAAAACAACAAAAAAAAAACACACACACAAATAAAAAAAAGAAAAAAGAAATAAAACAAAAACCATGAAGAAAGAAGTTGTCTTTTTGTTTAGCTGCAATTTCTGAGTGCACTTTAGACAAATTGTCAGAATCCACATTCGTGTTGGCAGGGAACCAGACTCCCTGGCACGCTGATTAAACGGTGTGTGGGCAAAACGTAGGCAGATGATGGGGACCTGTACAGCAAAACCTCAGAGAGCCTTGTTTTCATTTGCTTTTTTTTTTTTTTTTCCTCCCTCCAAATTCCTTTCAGGGTAGTTTTCTGACCATCACTCATTGGCTCTGCTTTGAGTCTTGATCCTCTTGACATTGGGCGCTGAGAAGATCAGTGAACCCAGAGCAGCAGCTGCTTGTGGTGAATAACCCTCACTGACAGGTAGGCAGGTAAACCTCTGAGTGCAGTGAAACTGCCGGAGAGACCCAAAACGTTGGACTACAGCAATAAAAAGGAAATTTTTACAGGTGGATTGGACTCTTTTCTTCCAGTGGCCCACCTGGACATGAGAGGATGTTCTCCTGCTCCAGCTTCAGCCTCCCTGGTTAGTCTGTCCATGAGGGCCCTGGGCTCTGACACCACAGGCAGCCACCCAGGAAGAAGTGGTGCTGAGGAATTTCAGACA